CTGGGTATTTATTTGAAGGAAATGAAATAGTATCTCAAAGAGATATCTGCACTTTCATGTTCACTACAGCATTATTCACAATAGGCAAGACACGGAAACAATCTTAAGTGTCCAACAACGGATAAATGGGTAAAGAAGATGTGATATATGCATAATTCCTTAAGTTTAGGTGAACACTGTTTTAGACAGAAACATTCATGGGGCACCTGGGTGGCTCAGTGGGTTAGAGGATCCGACTTGGACTCAGGTCATGATCTCACAGCTCGTGGGTTCACGCCCCATGTCAGGCTCTGTGCTAACAGCTCAGAGCCTGGAGCCTGCTTGGGATTCTGTGTCTCCCTCTCTCTCTCTGCCCCTCCCCCGCTCGCATTCTGTCTTGGTCTTTCTCTCAAAAATAAATGAACATTAAAAAAAAATAGAAGAATAAAAAGAAATTCATAAGATAAATAGTATGTTCTGTTAACAGTAAGACGTCTGTATACTCCAAGCAGGAGGTAAGATGTCTGCATACTCTAAACAGGAGGTTGAATTCCATTCAACTTGTTGACTTTTTCTCTATTCTCCTTCCTCCAAAAGCTGCATGTGCATTATCATGCCAAACCCACAATACCTTCTTCTGAATATATCATGGGCTAGATTTTACTTATGACTTTAATTACAGGCATGAATTGACTTTTTCAAATCCTGGTTAAATTCAATTTAATACATAACTAATAAAAAACTGAGTTAATCCCACCTAACTGCCAGAATTATGATATAGTGAGTAATAAATTTATTTATACTGAGAAAATACTAGAGTGCTAAACTCAAGTTATCCATTAAAAAAGAAAAAAAAAAGTTCCTCACAACATTCCCAAGTCTCCTTTAGGTCACAAGTGAGCTATTAACCAAAACACAGAAATGATAGAGGAACCTTTTTTAAGTGGGTGTTAGCAGATGTTAGCCAAGCAAATACTTTAAAATAATAAAATTAAATTAATGGGTGCTCTACTAATGTTTTCACCAGACAGCTAATACAGACCCAGGATGGTTCCTGGCCAACAGTAGAGGCAGTGGAACTTCAGATATATTTGTTGAAATGTTGGTGCTGTGAGAAGGGCCAAAAGCCAAATATGCATTTGGCCAAAACAGTTGGTAAGTTGCTATTTACAGATAATAATTAGAAACCAGGCACCAGGGTAAAGCTTGTAGTTGTAAGCACATGCAGGCTTTCATTTAATCCTTGTAACAACCTCCCCAATTACACTATCATTATTCTTTCCATTTTACAGATGAGAAAACAGATCTAAAAACTTAACATCAAAGCCTACTGTCCTCATGATATTACTTGGCAGTAGAGGGACACAAATTAAAAACCTACGCTGTTAACCATAACATGCCACTTCTGGGTGCTTCACCTTGGTTAATCTTTCCTAGGATATAATTAAGTACAGATGTAATGAATGCCTGAGCCATCAGACCCCAAGAAATCATCTGTTTGTGGAAACATCTGTCTCACTTGGCAAATATCTGAGGTTTAGATAAAATTTCATAGTTTGGTCTAGAGAATTAGAACTTTCAGAATTATGAAACTTTGATGATCAAAAAGGACCACCTACTGAGAGTCTCTGCCTTCTATGAAAGACATAACTCCCCCTAAGAAACCTAGGGGATCACAAGAATGTTCCTCATGATCATGACATAATCTTCTAGTCCAGGAGACCATCCACCCTTACTTCACCTTTTGAAAACATGTTTTCCCATGCTTGAGGAGAATGAAGGAATCTACAATCTTTTTTATAAGAAAGGAAAATATTAAACAGTTGGAAAGCTGAGGTTCTTAGGGTTGAGTACTTTGGGATGACAATTACAGTAAATGCTCATTCACTGAATGTGTTACCCCATAAATAAAGATTAGGACTAAAACAAATGCTCACTTAGAAAGCAACTGTAAGACTGGTTAAATCAATCAATTAAAATACTAAATTAAATGATAGTTGCTTCTCTATAGATTTTTCAATGTCCCTCTTAATATATAGCACCAGGATTAGATATAATACTTCAGAAGCATTCAGAGAGCAAGAGTATAATAGGGCTATTTCCTTTCTTGTTCATACTGTTTCTAGTACTGACTTCTAAGATTATTAACTTTATTATGAAATTGAATGCGCATGTCTACATTAATTACGGAAAGCCATTGCTATCTCCAGTATTTCAATGTGTGGAGTCTGTAAGCCACTCTTCTCCCACCCTATTTGTATTAACTTGCTATTTTAACTTCTGAGATATTTTTCAAATCTATGGCCAACTAATCCTTTAGAAATTTCTACACTTTTTGTTAACATCTCCCACCCTCACTGAAGTTATTAATACAAGTATTGAAGAGGACAGAATCAAGTTTGGAGTCCTTTGCATCCAATGGGACATCGCTGTCGAGAGTACCAAGATGATATGTCAGCTTTCTGTCCTGATTTCTGGACAGTAACTAACTACTTCCTGCCAGGTGGATCGCAATCAATATTAGATTAGAAGTCCACTTCATCATTTATTCTCCTTTTCAGATCAATGAACTGTATCTTACCTCTATTCCATTTGTGATTTGTATCAAAAAGATTGTTTTGTATGCTCCATCCAGCTTGGTAGCTTTTAATACATACTTACAATGACTAACCTTCTGTTTCTTTTTCTTCTCACATTAACTCAGATGTCTTCCAGCTTGCTGCCCCTCTGCCCGATGATTTTCCATGCATGCATGTATCCTAATTGCAATCCTTGCTAACATATATTTTGTTACCATATTCAGACTGTAGGTTTATATACTTATGTTTTCTTACATATTGATGTTTTTCTTTCTGTTGTTGCTTTATATTTTATGGAATCCTTGATTTCTTTCATGAACTCTGGTTTTCAATTATTCTTGACTACATTAGTAAATCTCTAAGCAAGTTTTTAGAGTATGGGCCAATGTTTCTCTGGGTAATGGCATACAGACCACTTGCATCAGAGATGTTGTTTGGGGACATCTGAAACTGGGCCCAGGAAGCTGTATTTTTAACATGCAATACATATGATTTTTACAAACATTAAAGTTTGGGAGCCCCGAACGCTGAAGTTTTGTTTTTCCCAGCTCTCGAGACATACGTTCTATTCTTCATTTAAGTATTTTAATCTAGTCTAGAAAACAAAAACCTCTTTCTTTTTGATAACACCCGAGAGAGTAAAAGTGGGAGGTATTTTACATCTAATACCTCAAAACCTCAAAAGCACTCTGCAAGTCAGATACTCTGAGAAATTAAATGGTTTGCTCAAGGTTACATAGATCATGGTTGGCATAGACTTTAGACCACAATGGGCCTGACTCCAGTGCCTGAGGTAATTGCCAACACATCATGCTAGCCCACCTAACTGTTTCCTTTTAGGCAACAATGGAGACAAAGACAGAAACTGCAGGAAGGGAGAAGATAAACAGCTTGTAGGAAGAGGAGAGGAGGAGTCTGAGGGTACGAAAATGGGGAAAGGAGAGCAAGGCCGCCCACACCACACTCTTAGATGGAGGCGGAAGTTTCAGTATGTGCTGGAGACAGCTGATGTAGAGCACTAGGAAGAGACAAAGCCCTTGCGGGGAACGAGGTAAATGCGAGGCAACTTAAGGGAGAGCAGGGTCAGCCTGTTCCCAAACTCTTAAGCATGGCAAACCAATTCCAAGATCGTTATAGTTAGATATTGGTCTTTAAGTTAATTGCTAAATGAAGAAATAAAGGCCTTGTTAAGGAACATAGTCTGTGCGTATGACATCCATAAGTTAGGTGATCGTATTTAGGGAAAGGGGGAAAAAAAATGGGTTTATTAGAAACATTTAGGGAACTGATGATCTGAATCTTTTAACTGATTGATTTAAATAAAATATGTAAAGCAGATTAGAAGAATTCAGTGTCCAATTTAAATTTTTTTCATTCACTTACTATTTACTTTTTCATTTCTTAAGTATTTATTGACTGCCTACTAAAAATGTACCTGGAATCAAGCTAGATGCTAGGGCATCCTTCTCAGTTAAATTGCTCAGTAAATGCAGAGTGAATATATGAATGAATGAATGAATGAATGAATGAAGAATAAATGAAATGAATGAATAAAGGATTTAACAAACAATCACACAGACTAGAGAAAGTGAATAAAGTATAAATGGAGATCTTGGATAGCTCTCTGCAAATATATTTAGCTGAATTAGGAAAGTTCAAAACTAAGATTCTTGACCTTTTCTGATGAGACTCCAGAGATCTGAAGTCTCATATTCAAGGTCAACTATTCTTTCAAGTTTATTGTGAAGCTATAATATTCAGAGGGTATTCCATGGCCACCCAGACTTTTTCAAAAACATGAGAGAAGATCTTCAGGCAAGGCTACCTTCTACTTACAAAATCCCTCTTATAGGCAGGAAAGAAAATCACAGAAAATACTAAGGCACAATCCTGCATCTCTGTCTTTACGATAAAAGTTATGTGTACAACGTTATTAGTTAACAGAGTTCAAATAATTAAAAACACACAGTAGGATATTTATTTATGAACTCTAGCACATCCTATTTGACAACCTGAATATCTTAACTGATACCGTGACAGGGGCGCCTGGGAGCTCAGTTGGTTAAGCATCTGACTTTGGCTCAGGTCATGATCTCACAGTTCATGAGTTCAAGCCACGTGTCGGGCTCCATGCTGACGGCTCAGAGCCTGGAGCCTGCTTCGGATTCTGTCTCCCTCTTTCTCTGCCCCTGCCCCACTCATGCTCTGTCTGTCTCTCCAAAATGAATAAATGTTAAAAAAATTTTTTAGTTGATACCTGACAAACTGAGTATCTTAATATGAGCAATTATAATTACAATAATGTAAAAAAACCTAGTTTTTAAATATAGACTAAAATAAACACTTGTTTCTTTTATACTGTAATTCAGTAAAAATGAGTCATCATGTTAAAAGAATAAGTCATAGAAATATTCTTTTGTTAAGACATGGGAATGACATTACCATGCACATGTAGCTGAAGGTGCTGTTGTGCTTCTCCGGCTGCATTGGTGGCCACACATGTGTATCTGCCAGCATCTTCCATCAGGGCTCTGGCAATTTGTAAAACTCGACCGGAAGACTGTATCTAATTGGGAACAGAAAGCATGGCAGCACTTTGTACTTTATATTGGACTGTAAAACATTTGCTTAGGTAGACAAACTCATTTAAATTGATACTAGCTAATTATAGTTTTATGCCAATATCTTAATTATCTCTAGATAGATTAGAGCCAGATCGCTTCGTCATACAAAAAATAGACTGATGCGATTGAAAACTTTTTTTATTCTTTAGAAAACACAAAATAAAATAACCTAAGACCAGCCTGCTGGTATAGTCATAAAACTTCACTGAACAAAAGACTTTAGCACTGAACTATGAGGTATGTGATAAAAATTTAAGCTACTTAAAAAAACACAGTCACATTTATATAACACTTCATAAATAGTTTTAAAACAACAATCTTTTTTGATTAAATGGTCACCGGGGCCAGAAAAACAATAAAAATTACAAAATATGAGTAATGGAAATGCAGATACATTTCTTCCTGACTGTTTTTCCTCATTTCTCTTTTAAACCTATTGCAACTAGCCTCCACCATTTTGGAACTGGTAGTTTAAGGGTTATTCTTTGAAACTGATTATTCAAAGGTTATCAGTAACTTCTAAGCACAAGATCCAACAGCATACGTAGTAAGCTCATTTTCTCTTCCCCCATCTACGGCATTTGGCATTATTGACCACCTACTCCTGAATCACTCTACTCTCTGGTTGTTGAAGATACAAAATGTCCTCAGTTCTCAATCTGTCTACTTCCTCCTCCTGCCCCATAAAAATAAAGCTCAGCTTTCTGATAGTTTTCATCCAAATTCATGTCTTCAGCAAAGAATCCTGTGCAGACTCTTAAATTTATAGTACTGGCCTCAATTTCTCTCCTGAGCTCCACACTCCCTGTTCCAGCTATCTGCTGGATGGGTTAGCACATGAAATTTAACATATCCAATAACTGTTTCCTTGTATCTCCAGACCTACTTTTCATTGCATGTTTCCAATCTTGTTTAATAGCACCACTATTCTCCAAGTCATCTTGATTTCAGAGCCCAATCTGACTCTCCTATTAAGTATACTACTCTATATTTTTCAGATCCCCTATTTTCCATTCTCACAACCACTGTGGGATTATAATAGTTTCTTAATTTATATTCCAGTGTCTCCAACCTCCCAAACTGTTAATCTATCTTATATATCACTGCCAGAATAATTTGCCTAAAATGCAAATTTGATCCTTTTACCAGTTCCCCTTCAAAGCTCACTCACAGCTCCCCACTTTGCCTAGCATGAAATCCGAACTTGGCATACATAGCCTTCCAGGCTTCCCACATTTTGAACCCAAATGATCTGCTCTCCATACACTCCCATGTAAACTCCCACTTGACCCATTCTCCAACCATACTGTACTAAACACATTAAGCAGCACATTCATACATTAATAGTCACTTCTAGACTTCTGCACATGGCCTTTAAATGTCATAATTTTTTAAGAGTCTGAACTAGGTCAGTTCTCTTCCATTTTTTCTTACTCTTTACTCTCCCCTTAGATAAACTCATTCACATCCATGGTTTCAAATATCATTATTTGTCAGTATCTCCAGCTAGAGCTCTCCTATGAGCTCCAGGAGCATACATTCCGTGGTCTACCTGATCTCCACTTTATTTCAAAGTCAACTTAACCTCCAAAACTCTAAAACTGAAATACAGTTTTTTTCCCGAAATGGGATGTCCTCCAAAGTCTATCATACTGGATGCATCATAATCTATGCATTTGTGTAGTTAGATTCTCCATGTTTTCCTTGATATTTCCCACTACCTCAACTTTCATGTGCAATTTTTCACTGAGTCATAATGACATCTTCTTCATGGTCAGAATGTGAGTTCAAATTTCAATCTCCTCTCTCTCCTAGATGATAAAGTCCTAATTGATATCCACACATCTACTCTTTATCTTTTTAAATTTATTTTTTGCAGTAAAATTGGCATGTAATTGTAGTTTCACATGTACAACATAATAATTCATATATCTGTATACGTCGTAAAGTGATCACAAGTCTTGTCACATACAAAGTTACAAATTGCTTTTCTTGTGATGAGAATTTTAAGATTTACTCTCTTGTTAACTTTCCACAATGCAATACAATATTATTGAGTATAGTCACTATGCTGTAATCACATCCCCGTGAATTATTTACTTAATATCTGGGACTTTGTACCACCTTCACCTTGACCACCTTCACCTATTTTGTCCACCTCTCAACCCCCTTCCTCTATGGCAACCACCAATCTGTTCTATGTGTATCTATGAGCTCTGTTTTGTCTCTTTCGTTTTTTAGATTCCACATATAATGCCTTCAAGGTCCATCTGGGTTGACACAAATGGCAAGACTTCATTTTTTTTTATGATTGAGTAGTATTCCATTGAGTGTCTATCTCTATCTCTATCTCTATCACATCCTCTTTATCCATTCATCTACTGATGAACACTTTGGTTGTTTCCATGTCCTGATTATTGTAGATGCTGCTGCAATGAACACATGGGTGCATATATCTTTTTGAGTTAAGTGTTTTTGTATTCTCTGGATAAATACCCAGAAGTGGAATTGCTGAATCGTGTGGTAACTCTATTTTTGATTTTTTGAGGACTCTCCCTACTGTTTTCATAGTGGCTGCACTAGTATACATTCCCACTAACAATGCAAAAGTGTTCCCTTTTCTCCACATCCTCACCAACACTTGTTGATAGCCTTCAAACAGGTGTGAGGTGATATCTCGTGGTTTTGATAATAGCCTTCAAACAGGGGTGAGGTGATATCTCATGGTTTTGATTTGAATTTCCCTGATAATCACTGATGTTAAACATTTTGTCATGTGCCTGTTGGACATCTATATGTCTTTGGAAAACTGTCTATTTATATCTTATGCCCATTTTTAAAACAGATTGCTTTTTTTTACTATTATATTGACTTCTTTATATACATTGGAAATTAATCCCTTAGCAGATATATGATTTACATTTTTTTCTCTCATTTAATAGGCTGCCTTTTGTTGGTGGTTTCCTTTTCTGTGAAGAAGCTTTTTAGATTGATGTAGATTGATCCCACTTGTTTAGTTTTGCTTTTGCTGTCTTTGATTTTGGAGTCATATCTAAAAACTCGATGCCAAGACTCTTGTCAGGAAGCTTATTACCTACGTTTTCTTCTAGGAGTTTTGTGGTTTCAGGTCCTACATTCAAGTTTTTTTTATATTAAATATAACTTATTGTCAAATTGGTTTCCATACAACACCCAGTGCTCATCCCAACAAGTGCCCTCAACAATGCCCATCACCCACTTTCCCTTCTCCCCCGCCCCCGCCCCGTCAGCCCTCAGTTTGTTCTCAGTATTTAAGAGTCTCTTATGGTTTGCCTCCTTCTCTCTCTGTAAATTTCTCCCCCCCTTTCCTTCCCCCATGGTCTTCTGTTAAGTTTCTCAGGGTCCACATATGAGTGAAAACATAGTATCTGTCTTTCTCTGCTGACTTACTTCACGTAGCATAATACCCTCCAGTTCCATCCACAAATGGCCAGATTTCATTCTTTCTCATTGCCAAGTAGTATTCCATTGTATATATAAACTACAGCTTCTTTATCCATTTGTCAGTTGATGGACATTTAGGCTCTTTCCATAATTTAGCTATTGTTGAGAGTGCTGCTTTAAACATTGGAGTACAAGTGCCCCTATGCATCAGTACTCCTGTATCCCTTGGGTAAATTCCTAGCAGTGCTATTCCTAGGTCATAGGGTAGATCTATTTTTAATTTTTTGAGGAACCTCCACACTGTTTTCCAAAGCAGCTGCACCAGTTTGCATTCCCACCAACAGTGCAAGAGGGTTCCCATTTCTCCACATCCTCTCCAGCATCTATAGTCTCCTCTGATTTGTTCATTTTAGCGAATCTGATTGGTGTAAGGTGGTATCTCAGTGTGGTTTTGATTTGTATTTTCCTGATGAGGAGTGACATTGAGTATCTTTTCATGTATCTGTTGGCCATCTGGATGTCTTCTTTAGAAAAGTGTCTATTCATGTCTTCTGCCCATTTCTTCACTGGATTATTTGTTTTTCAAGTGTGGAGTTTGGTGAGTTCTTTGTAGATTTTGGATACTAGCCCTTTGTCCGATCTGTCATTTGCAAATATGTTTTCCCATTCCATAGGTTGCCTTTTAGTTTTGTTGATTGTTTCCTTTGCAGTGCAGAATCTTTTTATCTTGATAAGGTCCCAATAGTTCATTTTTGTTTTTAATTCCCTTACCTTTGGAGATGTGTCAAGTAAGAAATTGCTGTGGCTGAGGTCAAAGAGGTTTTTTCCTGCTTTCTCCTCTAGGGTTTTGATGGTTTCCTGTCTCACATTTAGGTCCTTCATCCATTTTGACCTACATTCAAGTTTTTAATCAATTTTGAGTTAATCTTTATGTATGGTGTAAGACAGTGTTTTGGATTCATTCTTTCGCATGTGACTATCCAGTTCTTCCAATGCCGTTTATTGAAGAGAACATGCTTTCCCCATTGTATATTCTTGCCTCCTTTGTCATAAATTAATTAATTATATATGTGTAGGTTTATTTCTAGGCTCTCTCTCTATTCTGTTCCATTGATTTATGTGTCTGTCTTTATGCCAATACCAAACTGTTTTTGATTATTATAGTTTTGTAGTATAGTTTGAAAACAGCATGAGGCTTCAAGGTTTGTTTTTCTTTCTCAAGATCATTTTGGCTACTTGGGATCTTTTGTGGTTACATACAAATTTTAGGTTTGTTCTACTTATGTGGCAAATGCTATTGAATTTTTGATAGAAATTGCATTGAATCTATAGGTTGCTTTGGGTATTATGAACATTATAACAAGATTAATTATTCCAATTCATGGGCATAGGATACCTTTCCATTTGTTTGTGCCTTCAATTTTTTTCATCAATGTCTTATAATTTTCTAGTGCACAGGACTTTCACCTCCTTGTTAAAATTTCTTTTTATTCTTTTTTATGCAATTTTAAATGGGATT